GTTGATTTTTGGGTTTTAAGACTTTACTATTTGCTTTTTGAAACACAGCACAATTTTTTTTTGTCAGACACTTATAGAGCCTAACATTAATATTAATACGTTAAATGAGGTTAAGAAAGTGAAAACTATTGCAAAAAGTTCTTTTCAGAAAGCAATATGGTGTAAAAATCGTGTAGAGCGATAACATGAAGTTGAGTTACATGAATCTATAAAAAAATTTCAATTTGTTCTTTTCCACTTTTCGGCAGTACTTTTTTTTGCTGAAATTGCCGTTCTTTTTATAATATACCTCTGTTTAATTTGCCTTTTAGTTTAACTTCTTACAGCTTTAAAACATCTTAAGTAAGCCAAGGAAACATAATGTTAGTTATTCGTCCTGAATGGGATTAAACAATATGGCATCAAGTGAAAAATTCTCAACATGCATCAGTTTTCTTTTTTCAAATCAGATTACACTTGAGCAACTCTTTTGCAATTTCTTATGCTTCCTTTGGTTTCCCCAAAAACTTTCTTCTCCTGTTTTTCTTTTCTCTGTCTGCCTTAGACTCTCACTTGAAGGTTCCAACTTTAAACTACTTATTGGCCAAACCAATTACTCTTTGTAGACTTCATAAATTAATTGTAAGGATGAAGGGTTGTTCATTATTTGAAGTTCGTTAGCTAGCTCAGAGCCAGCATTTAGAAGGCATCTTGCCTGTCAAGCTTTATATGACAGTCTCTCTTTTCATTTTAGCAAAAAAAAAAACAACTAGCATTAATAGACACAAAGTGGAACAGAGTGTAGAATTTTGAAAATGATTTCTAATCAGTTTCGCTTATTAAAGTCAGATTGCGATTTATCTTTACTCTGCCAGAAGGTTAATGCCAAGAATTTATACAGTTCAATTTTAAAAATGGAACTTTTCCAGTTAAACTCCTTTGTGGCGAGAAGCATTGATTTGACAACGCACATTTCTGAAATTGTCTAAAATGGTCTGCACCCTATCTCTCAATGGGTAGAACCGTGGTTATGCGCGAATAAGATAATAGTTGAGGTGCATCTATCTAAGACCAGAGAAATGATGAAGATTTGGGAGATAATGTTTTGTGGCTTTAGCAATAGGTAGAAATGCACGCATATATTGTTTTCTATTGTTTTTGACGAACATAAAGATGGTTTTTTGATAGTCGAGATTTAATGGAGCGTAGGCGTAACATGGTAATCATAGGTGTGAATAGGTGTGGGTTGAAAAAGGTTGAGTTAAGAACTTTCGGAATGTCGGCTTCGATTATGAAAATGTTTTCTTGACCACTTAGTGGTGTTACTGTAAACTTCACAATAATTTTTTAAATAATATTTTTTAGTCTTTGCTCTTTTTTTGGAGGCCATTCACTAGTAACTCGGATGTGAGCAGCCAGCATTGTCAAGCAGAAGAACAACAAATGCCATTTGTACTTTAACTTAGGTGTCTTTATGCTTCATTTTTGATCACAATTCCAGACTCATTATGTTAAGTGTTGCTTCCTTCCATCATCCTATTTGAGTTTGGGTTAGATTGTGAAATGATCTGCAAAAAATACTTTATTAATACTTAGGTAAATTTTGGAAATTAAGAAAATTTTTCGATGACAGTTTTTGATTTATAATTTGGTCATTTAGTCAGTCTAAAATTGAGCTTTTGAAATGCCTACGTCAATTCGTCAATTTCATTTTTCATTTTTTTGAAACAGGCTCGTGGATGTGCAGTTTTTCAAAATTTATAAATGTTAAATACAGTTCCCAGATATAGTATTTAGTCTCAAGCAGATGTTTTGGAGTCACTTGGGTTTGGCTGTTGACTGTCTAGCCGGATTGTTGTCGATCTTTGGTTATTAGTTACGTAGACAACTTGAAATTGAAGCCAAATCAGTTGAATTTTTCACACACGCTGTACACTTACTCGTTGTGTAGGTGTTATTGTATAGAAGTACGACACTTACTCTGAACTGTTTTTTTTTTACAGGTCAGGAACTCATTGCGCTCAGTCAGTTACTGGCCAAAATGCACGCTTTAAATACTTTATTATGGCTTTTTTCCGTTTGTTTATCTGGTAAAGATATATAGCTTTCTTCTATTAAGCTGGAAGTTTTTACGTAGGTATTCATTTTTGGATAGCGTATAAAGACTTTTAAAATAGGTTTCAAAAATTCAAAAAGAGATTTTAGTTTTAAATATGACCTTACAACTTAACTCGACACTCAAAATGTTTACAGTTAATGGTTTGGGATGCATGCCGCCGATATGTAAAAGCATGGAAAAAAATGAAATACTAGGCTGTGAGGGTAACATTTGTGGCACTTTTGACGGCTTAAGGTATGGATCTCTTTTGTAGCTTATCACTATCATTGTTGGTTATTAGAGCTTAGTGGTTTTTAGAAATCGTTTATGTGCGATATTTCAATGTGAAGAAGTAACTAATTTCAGGTATAATGGAGAAATCGCTAAAGCAGTTGATTTAAGATGTGATGAGGGTTCACTTGTAGTCGCTCCTTTTGATGGCAATTTATCATTTTGGAGGCCGTTTGAGGGACCTACCAGCTGTGAAAACGAAGGAGTAAAAATAAGTGGCTTTGGCCAATGGCAAGGTTAAATTCTTTAGGATCTTGGTCAATTTAAGCGAGAGTCATATTTGGGGAAGAATACTTTGTTATATTACCTTGGCAAAAATGAATGTGAATATTAGACTGTATAGTTTTTAATTTATTTTCATTCCCAAGTTTTCATTGACGTTTCTAGGTTATCGAGTTTATATCGCTCCGGTCTCGTTGGACTTTTTTAGCGGTCGTGTTGAGAAGGGACAAAGAATTGGGATTTCAAAAAATTTTGGATGCATTTTTAATACAGATGTTCTTCCTCAGCATATACGACTTAACCTTCTGAAGGAGAAGAAGTTTATTGATCCTACCTATCACCTAACTGATTGTTAGTTTACTTTAATATTAGAGCTTTCTTTTAATCTGCAATATTGCAAGCTACCACTGCTTCAATTCGGAAGTTCAAAAATGAGGATTTGTTTTAATATTTTAGGTATGTGCACGGGTCAAATTTGCGAAACTAACATCAATAACGCTGTTCTCGGGAAGCCATTTCATCATTACAAGTATTTGTTATTTAAAGAATCTGTAATTTATCTTCACTAGTCTGTCGCCAGAGTAGTTTTTTTCACGTTTAACTGCGGCGCCAAATGATTTTTCTTATTTCTGTTTTTTTGTAGTTATCTTTTCAGCGTATCTTCTTAATGAAACCGCTAAATTAAAAAGGTGCTATGCACAAATATAAAACATTCTACTCCTTTATTTTTTGCAGTGCGTACAATGGCGTCTTTGGATGGAACATCAAATGTCCATTGCCTGTTGAAACTGCCTCACGGGTACTTTGTAACATTAATTTCACAGTTTACCTCTTAACAGTGATAAACCTTATATTCTAGCATCGAAACCTTTGGTTATTCGTTTACCGCACTATGCTTTTTAGCTGAAAGAGTATTTCACTATTTCATATTTCTGTTATACTTGAGCTATTTGGGGTCGTTATAATTCTTAGGAAGTTAAAGCTCCGTATATATATTCTCCAATAGATGCTGAATGGGCGGGACGGATTCGCTGGAACGCAGCTAATGGAGAATACATTGGGTGTGATAATGACGGAATCGTTTTGAAGGGCACAGATACTTGGGAAGGTATTGTGTCTTTTTTACTTTCGAATAATCAGTTATAGGTCGATAACTCAAGGAGACACATGGACTATAATTGACAGTTTTTGCTGTACACTGTGGTTAGAATTTTTTTAGGTTTTGAGGTACGTTTGTACAATGCCTTGTATAAGGACGACATTATTGGAAAAAAAAGGATTGTGCAAGGCCAAATTATTGGTACTCGACTGGTTTGTGATGCTGCGCCTGACGGAGTGTTTATGGAGGTAATTTTACATTACCCATTTTTACTGTGGTTATTTTAGTGGTTTTTTTTAAGCTAATAGGTCACGTTTCGTGAGCCAAATTAAGACACATGATGTGTCAGGTATTGTTCCATTTAGAAAGTCATTTTGCAAGTTTTTTTGCATATTTTGTGTCTTTCTCCTCTCATTTGACGGAGCGAAATGTCATTTCTTTAGGTTCGGTATCTAGGAAGAATAGTTGATATTTCGGACTTGATCAGTGCAAACCTTTGCAAAAAGCCTGACTTTATTTGACTGAAACACAACTGCTTTATCGGTCGTTGTTTTGTATTTGCTGACACCACTATGTATCGCAAAATGAATTTATGAAATAAAATTGTTTTTAAAACTGTGTTTGGTGATTTACTGATGCCACTGGAATGAATTTTGGATTAGTTTTTAAGTCTGAATTTTGTAAACTTGGGCGGTCATTAGTTAAAGACTGCACTTGTTACCATTCGACACAGTGTTTTCAAAGATTTGAGACACATTGAAATGGGCAAATTGATACTACCGTTTACTGTCGTGTTCGACCAGTGAACACAGTTGATGGTATTTTAGAGACGGTGAAATACTGGGATTTGTTGGGTCGTATTCAAGCTTTTGAATCTCGCAGCTTTCTCTGAAAATGCTAGAGCTGTCAACTGCTGGTGGCCTGACATTTGCTTAGCTAAGCTATTCCAGCAGTTTTCGGTATCGCTGTTTGTGAGAGAAGGAGAAATATGGTTTTCTTAATTTGGAAAACTTGTTTCTTCATTACTACTCAAACTGTCATTTCCTTCTCTTTACGTTGACGTCAATTCACTAAGCGTATGTAACACAATAATTGTTTTATAAGAAAATCTTGTTGCTGTTCTTTAGCGACATTTAGTTCACGCACATACAACCTGAACAACGGAAAACGAAAGGAGGAAAGAGTTTGGTTTCACAAGGAGTCATCAGTGTTGCAAAGTGTTTAAGGTAGGAAGAACTTTAATCTTTCACTGTGTTAGTTGTATAAATGATAACTGCAATCTGATGAAAACTAGTGTGTTTTCTCGTTTTCTTATCTGCAATAATTTTAAATGAAAGTATCTAAAAAGGGCAAGAAAAAACTTTTTTGAAATTTATCAACCGATAATATCACTTACAGAATTCTTTCAACCAATCAGTTTGGATCTGAAGTGTTGTTTATATGAAAGCTACAAAAAAAGTATGATAAATATGGTAGCTGGAACGACGTGTGTAATGCTTCTAATATCACTGTTTCATATAAACAGAGCAGATTTTATGGATTATGCTGATGAAGTGAAAGAAGGCGAAAAGCAGTAAGGTTTTTTGTTGTTGTTTTTTTTTTTTTTATTACGTTTAGGAAACAGTT